GGACTATGTTAAAAAGAGGATCATCTCTGCGACGGACAACGAGGACCGGCATTGACCACAGGTCCAACCCTCATCGATCCTTTATGACTGTCAAGTTGTAATGAACCTTCTAACTTTATGTCCCGCGCTATATCTTGTTTAATTTTAGACATTTTACTCAGGGACAACATTCCTCTTTTTGTTCTTTATACGAGAGTTTCACAGGGGGTCTGTCCGGGTTTTGGTTAGTGATTTATTCATCAGTGCTGCAAGGAGCATAAACAGTAATAATATTTTAAAGTAAGAGAACCCCTTTCTTTATTTTTTTAGTTATTGTTATTTAGTTGGGACAGGAGTCCAGACAGGGAGTTTAGCCCCCCAGTATAAGCACAAATGTGTGGATTTTTTGTTTGTTGGGTTTTCCGTTTTTTTTTTTTAGGAGAAAGGGGTGGGACTATACCGGATATATTTGTTTTGAGAATGTCTTTTTCTGTTTTTTTTGTGATGGTTTGTGGATATTGTACTGCAGTCAAATTGACCATACATGAGCAGTTCTAATATTACCAGGTTCATCAACAGTCACCCAGTTAACTGTGTGAGATGGAATGTGAAATCCCTCAATGGTCCAGTGAAATTTAGGAAAAATATGACACATTTAAGACAACTTAATACTAATATTACTTTTTTGCAGGAGACCCATTTGCATAAGGCAGAAAGTGCAAATCTAAGCAGGCGCTGGACTGGTCAGGTGTTTCAGTCTAATTTCCAATCTAAATTGAGAGTGGTGGCCATCTTAATTAGTAAACAGGTGCAATTTACGGCATCCAGTGTTAAAACGGACGCTGCTGGATGTTATGTAATTGTGGTGTGAAAACTATATGCACTTCCCATCATTTTAGTCTCGGTATATGCTCCAAATTGGGATGATCAAACATTTTTTAATACGCTTTTTTCAAATTTACCTAACATTTCAACACATAATCTCATTATTGGGGGAGATGTGAACTGTGTGCTATCATCCCTCGATCGTAGTACAGTGGGGAGGATCTCTCTTTCTAAATCGGCCCAGTCAATTAATTCATTTCTTAAAACCTATGGAGTGGTTGACATGTGGCGTTTTCGAAATCCGACCCTGAGACGGTATTCGTTTTTTCCCCTGTTCATAAGAGCTATTCAAGGATTGACTACTTTCTCCTCGATAAACGGATTTTACCTTTAGTGAGTGAATGTGATTATGGAGTGATAGTCATTTCTGATCATAGTCCGCTCATAATGAAACTGAGCGCTCCTGTTACGCAGTCGGTCTATCGTCCTTGGCGACTTAATCCGATACTTTTATCTGACGAAGACTTAGTTGATATGCTTGCTTCTGAAATTAAGTTTTTTATTGATGTTAATCGGACTCCTGGGATGCCACTCAGCACTGTTTGGGAGTCATTAAAGGCTTACCTGAGAGGTCAAATAATCTCTTACTGTGCAAATAAAAAGAAGAAAAACATCGAACGGCTAAAATCTCTGACAGATCAGATTCTACAATTAGACAGGGAATGCTGCCATGCATTTACATAAAACTCACTTAAGAAACGTACATTACTCCAAACAGAGTTTAACATATTATCTACCCAACAGGCCGAATATTTAATATCCAAATCTAGGTATGGCTACTATGAGCATGGTGAGAGGGCTGGACGCCTTCTTGCACAGCAGCTAKGGCAGCYCTCAGCTAAACAGGATATCTCAGCAATAAATGATAAGCATGGTGTAGAATGTTGTGAGAATGCAGGAATTAATCTGTGTTTCAGCAAATTTTACCAATCTCTGTATACCTCCGAAGCCTCAKCTAACCCTACTGAATTGGATGATTTTTTTAAAAATATTAAAATCCCTTCACTAAGTTCTGATCTATCTAACAAGTTAGAAAGAGATTTCTCTTTAGCTGAGATAAATTCTGCAATTAAAAACATGCAAAATGGAAAATCTCCAGGACCAGATMGTTTCCCGGCAGAATTCTTTAAGAAATTTTTGGATCTACTTTCTCCCCTGTTATTATCAGTTTTTGAGGAATCCTTGGCTACACAATTATTGCCACTGTCTATGCGTCAGATGGTAATTTCCTTGCTTTTAAAGAAGGATAAAGACCCCTTGAGCTGTAGTTTATTTCACCCAATATCGCTCTTAAATACTGATGTAAAAATTCTTACAAAGATGTTGGCAAAARGAGTCGAACAGATTATCCCCACAGTTGTTGCAACTGACCAGACCGGTTTTATTAAAATCGTCAATCCTTCTTTAATATCAGGCGGTTGTTTAATGTGCTGTATACTTCTGCTCCGCCCGGTCACAACTGCATTGAAATTTTAATCTCGCTGGATGCCGAGAAAACGTTTGACCGGGTGGAGTGGAACTAWCTTTTTAAGACCTTGGAGATGTTTAACTTCGGCCCTAAATTTGTTTCATGGGTGAAGRTGATATATACCTTGCCAATGGCAGCAGTACGCACTAACAGTAATCTATCCAGCTATTTTGAATTGGAACGTGGTACGAGAAGGGGGTGTCCACTCTCGTCACTCTTATTCACGATCGCGATTGAACCACTCGTAGTGGCTTTACGGAACAACCCTAAGATTAAAGATATTAATCAGTTTGGCACTGAACATAAAGTTTCCTTATACGCTGACGATACTCTTCTTTATATCTCAGATCCCTTGTCTAGTGTTTCTGAGTTACTTCTTTTAATTCAAAAGTTCGGAAACATATCTGGGCATAAGGTTAACCTTCAAAAAAGTGAATTGATGCCTGTGAATCCAATAGAAAAGCAGAATATGGGTCCAGTTCCTTTCAAAATTGGCTCAACCAAATTTAAATACCTTGGTATTTGGAWTACTCACAGTCACAAAGATCTCGATACTGCAAACTTTCTGCCTCTCCTGGTGAACCTTAAGAAGGACATCGCTATATGGGCTTCACTGCCTCCATCCTTGGGGGGTAGAATCAACGTGATCAAAATGACAATATTGCCCAAATTACTTTATCTATTTCAGAGCGTGCCAGTGTTCCTCACCAGGACTTTCTTTACAAAATTAAATAGTGAATTGTCGTCCTTTATTTGGAATAAAAAGCATCCACGGATAGCCAGTAAGATGTTACAGTTACCCCATGGTCTTGGTGGCTTGTCACTCCCCAACTTTTTATATTACTACTGGGCGGCCAACATTAGAGCCTTACTGTACAGGTTGAGAGATGACGACCCTGTCCCTACTTGGGTAAATCTAGAGAGGAAATCAGTTACGGCGAGCTCTCTCTCTCTGCTTTACTTTGTTCCCGGTTACCGTTTAATCAACCCATCTCAACTTATACTTCTAATCCAGTGGTAACTCACACAATAAAAATCTGGAATCAGTGCAAGATATTGCTTAAAAGTACAGAATTATTATTGTCTGCTCCAGTGTCAAATAACCATATGTTAGCTCCTTCACTAATGGACTCTTTTTCAATACCTGGAGTTTAAAGGGAATAACTTCTCTAAATGATCTTTACATAGAAAATAAGTTCGCCTCATTTGAACAGCTAACAGAAATTTGACATCCATAAGTCACAGTTCTTTAGGTATTTACAACTGAGACATTTTGTAACGTCAAGCTCTGGATGTTTTCCTCTACGCCCCCCAACTTCTCTTATAGATGAGATTCTGATGTGTAAGTCTGTAACAAAA